CGTATAAGTGCTATCTTTTAGTTTGTCGCCACATGATACGCGATTCCGGCTCATTGACCCGTAATATTATTTTTGAATTTTATTTATTATACATTGAGCCCTAAACTACAATTTTATTAATTTGTTAATTCAAAGAAAAGTTAACCGCTGATTTGTAAGCTAATAGAAGATGCAGTCGACAAGACGCTCTGCATGCTCTGAAGCGTTTGATTGACCAATTAGATAAAAGGAAGAAAGATTTCTTTAATCTGAATGGTCAATTAAACATTTCAAAGCATCCAGAGCGTCTTCTCGACTACAGCCAGAGACTGAGAATAATGTGATCACAGATTTTCATGCTACGAATGAACATGAAAAGACTGCATCAATATGAAAAGATGCCTTAATTCAGCTCGAGAATCTTTTGCTTCCCGGACTTTTTATTGCGAGTGCTCGGATACTATCTTGAAATTCAGAAAAATTATAAAGAAAATAAGTGACAAGAAGATAAGAGAATAAAATCGATATTATAATTATTTTCTAGGGGAATATTGTAAAAATATCGAAACATCAGGTTTGTAAATTTTTTTATTATTAGGTTATGTATTTGTGAAATACATAGTTCATATTAAGATATAATAATAATATATTCAATTTTTTATATGTTGATACGACTTCGTGTTTTACATCAGGTGACAATACATTTATATAATAAATCAACGCATTTTTGCCATAAGGACATCTTTATACTGGAGTATAAATATTTTTGATATCATTTTTTTCAATATAAATCTATTATATGTTCTATTTCGGTATACAAGTATTTATACCGAAAATAGTCTATTATATTAATATAGTCTACTTATTATATAATAGTCTATCTATTATATCTATCTTTTATGTTAATAATATATTTCAATATTCAGTTTCGGTTTCTTCTTCGGTATACAGATTTCTTATCTTTCAAGTGTTTATTTTTCGACATTACTGAAATAGGTCCCTTTAAAAATACAAACATGAAAACCTCATATGGTCGGAAACCGATTTTTAAGTTATTATCATGTCAACGTTTACGGAGATTAAATCTGTTACGGCAAAACAATCACAATATACGATTGAATAATCCAGTGATAAATGCGAATGCATTTCATATAATTAATGTAGCCTCAGCATTTGAACATTGTCCTCTTGATCAAATATCTCATGCTAACAAACATAGTGAAAATGTTTCTGTCGATTCAATGTATGTTGAAAATTGTAGTTCCCTCTATCTTGAAAGGAATATTTCATCTACAACATTTCAATCTAATGAAAATGATTACAATGTAAATGTAGAAGTGAATACTTTTCAAGAATCTCTCGCGACAGCATTTGTATAAGGAAATCTTACGCATACTCAAGGAAATCTAATTTTAAAGACATTGCGATCCCTGTCCTGAACCGTGTCTTTCATATCTTCCAAAAGATTTACGAACATTATTAAATACTGCACGTAAAGGTTGCATTGTTTCTAAAGTTGATCCTGGAGAATATCTACACATAGGATTTGTTGAAGCTCTTATCACAATTTTACATAAAACACCACCGGCTTTGATTCCAAATATAATCAAAATAGATTGGAGTACCAATGGTAGAAGAACTAGATTGAATAAATCGGGTAATATGCAAATTTGGCCAATTCAGTGTTCTATTGTTAACATCACTAATTCAAAACCTGAAATTGTAGGCATTTATAAAGGACCAAAAAAACCATTAAACATTAATGTTTTTCTTAATCAATTTATTGATGATGTTCTTAAAGTTATCGATAGTGGTGGTATATAATTTCTTCAAAAAAAAATACCTGTGAAATTACGAGCCTTCATTGCAGATGCACCTGCACGTTCTTGGATATTGAATCATTTTGGACATACTTCCAGTAATCCATGTTCCAAATGTCGAATTGTTGGTATTCGATGCGAGGATCAAATAGTTTTCATGGGCATAAATCATTGCTTACGAACAAATGATGAATATAGTAAACTAGACGATGAAGATCATCATAATGGACCCACTCCACTAAGTCGTTTACCAATGGGTTTGGTTTCGCAAGTGCCCTTTGAATACATGCACTTAATTTGTTTAGGTGTCGTCAAAAATTTATTGAATGTATGGATTACTGGAAATTATGGAAAAAAAATGAAATTATCTGCTCGAAATCAAAACATTATTTCGAGAAGATTAGAACATATATACAGGGTGTCCGAAATGTGTGGGAACACCTAAATATTTCGGAAAATAAGCATAATAGAGAAAAATGTTTCAAACAAAAGTTGTAGGGTTTACAAAGATCTATTTACTAATTTTATCAGTCTGACCTTGAGTGGCGTCCCTAAGGTCAGGTCAAGGTCACGTTGATTTTTGCAAACGGAACACCCTATTTATGATACCAGAATTTGATAGCTGGTATCAAGAGCTTTTCAAAACACTATAATAAAGTAAGTTTTCATTAAGTATTTTTCGAGTTTCGGAGCTTGAAAGTTACAGTCCTGCCGCGCCGGCGTCGGCATTAGCATTACCCAAGGGTGCGTTCGGATTCCCCACCCGATGGGTGAGCGTTGGGTGACTGGGAGATGGGCGGAGCAAGAGCTGAGTGTTCCATGAAGCTATGGAATCGGAACGGTAACCGAATGGAAATATAAACAAATATGGAAGTTAATAGACAACGATTAATTGTTGCAGCTGTAGTGCTAGGAGATAATTTACTTAGATCAATTGTAATATTTGATAGTGATTCTGACAGTAGCGATAGTGATACTGATGAAGATGATTTACAATTATGGAGAAAAATGATTCTACGCGGCAGATCGCATAAACCTTTGAGATTGGAAGGTTATGTCGAACGTATAATTCCTCTACTCACAAAGGATCAATTTAGAAAACATTTTAGAATGATTCCAAACGTTTTTGAAAATCTTGAAGCATTACTTGGTCCAGTATTATCAGTTACAAATGGAAAAGCAGTGATTCCAGTTAGAAAGCAACTATTAGCAACATTGTGGCTATTAGCTACTCCTGACTCATATCGGTATGTTATTACAAGTAAAATTGATATTTGCGGATATATTTACTGCTATTTGTGGATATACTCTTATTGAAAATATGATATAATTTTTCTTTCGTCTAGTTCTGTCGGTGAAAGATTTGATATAGCAAAGAGCTCTCTCAGTTACAGCTTTATGAGAGTTATTGAAGCTATAAATGACATTGCAGGCCAGTTTATCAAATGGCCAAGAGGTCAATATCTACAAGAAGTAAAAACAGGTTTCAGTAAAAACATTGCATTGTGTGATATTATTGGTGCTATTGATGGCACTCATATTTTGATAAAACAATCCAGGGTATAATATAATTAGCTACAATCATGATAATTATATATGAACAAATATAAAAATAACTTGTTTTTTTCCTTATATGTTTTTCTTTATGTATATTTTAGAGAGATGCCCAGTTCTACAAAACTTATAAAAAGACGTAGGCAATCACACTTCAAGCTGTTTGTGATGATTGCTTACGTTTTACAGATTGTTTTGCTGGCTATCCTGGCTCAGTTGGTGACTTGAGAATCTTACGAAATTCAGACCTTTGGAGAGAAATTCAGATCGACAAACAAAATTACTTCCCTGAAGATGAATTTATCATTGGCGACAAAGCTTATCCAGTATTAAGCTGGTGTATTCCTCCATACATAGATCGTGGTTAATTAACTAATGTAAGTTTACAATTAAAATATTTTATATGCTATTTTTTATATTAAAATGAAAGCAGTAACTATTGTTATTTTAGATATTTAAGTAGAGATTTGGATTTTTTATAGGCTCAAAAGAAGTTTAATCACGAGATCTCTGCTAAAAGATCCGTTATTGAAAGAGCATTTGCGTTATTGAAGGATTCAGGAGATTGAAATATCTTGATATGAATGTTGATGAGATGATACCTTATGTAATCATTGCATGTACAGTATTGCATAACATTTGTTTGAAGGGTGTTGATGATAATGTAGAAGATTTAATAGAAGAAGGAGCTGAAGTGATCGATGAAGATATTTATGATGTAGGTATAGCTAATGAAGTAGCAGGAGAGATAAAGCGTGACTATCTGTGCAATCTTGTAGCTGATGTATAGACTTATAAGTAATATCTATTGTCAGCTGAAAGCTTTAATTTATTATTCAAATATAGATTCTATTTTTATAATTGCATTTATGAAAAAATAAAACAGTTATGAAAAACATTCATTTTATTGTTTTTTTGTTACAACTTACATCTAATAAAATCCAGTAAAATAAAAATGCTTACAAACATATTGAACAGCTCTAAAGCTAAATGTTAGAAATTCGAACAGAATTTCACTTGTAATAAAAAAAAACAGATTTTCACTTGTAATAAAAATAAAATATTAAAATATATATACATGTTTTCATTATAGTTTTATCTTTGTGATGTTTTTTTTTAAATTACTGACTCATCAATAATAACAAAAATATTTAAAGAATAAAGTTAAAGAGCAGGCTGTAACTTATGCTGGAATCGACAAAGTGGAAATTGCACACAAGAATTCAAGAGAACTGCTATTATATATATATATATATATATATATATATATATATATATATATACATGAAAATGTAAAGATAAAGAGGAGAATATGATAACAGCTAAATTAATTAAAGAAAATCCTCTTTGGGAGCACACTAATAAAAATAAAAGAAAAGGCATGAAAAAAAGTATTGATCTTTATCAGTTCCAACATAAATTATATCGGTTACAGACTGCATAAATTAAGAATCACAATATAACTTACGTTTAAGTAACACATAAGTAACATAACATTAATAAACAAAATGGCATTAATCCAACATTAACTAAAAATATTAATTTCAACACATTACTTACAAAAAAATAAAAATAATAAAATGTAAGACTTACATTTCTATTCTAGAGTTGAAATCACAGTAAAGGTAATTGCGAACTTAAAAATAATCAAAATTTGTGCAATAATTTATTCATGACACTTTCATACATCTTAATCGCTTCAGCTTGGTGTCGCATTCTTTCTTCATGTCGCCTTTCCTTAGCTTGTTCTCGTACAGTAGCTGCTTCTTGCTGTAGAAGTGCCCACTTTTCTAGCTCTTTGCTAACTTTACTTTTCTTCTTAGGTTTCTCAGTCTTTTTATTAGTCTTATTTTCTGTAAAATTTTCAATGTTTTCCCTCTCTTCTTCATCTTCAGATGAGAGAAATGCACAAGGTGAACGTTTGTGCTTCTTCAAATTAGAAGCGATAGCTACCGGTTTGATTATAGGTTTTTCACCAAATACTGCGTCCATTTCTTCATAAAATTTGCATGTCTGTAAATCTTGTCCACTCTTGTTTACGTTATTGTCTCTAGTTTTAGTATACATTTTTCTGACATCTTTAAACTTATTTTCACACTGCTTTCCAATGTACTCCCAAAGAGGATTCTCCTCAATTAATTTTGCTGCGATCATATTCCAAACTTTATCATTTGTAATAGTAGTACTCTTGAATTTGTCCTCGTGCAACTTCCATTGGCTTATAAGTGCTTTGACAGCATTCTCGTCTTTCCATGAAGCTTGTTGCTTACTTGAACCTTTAATTAATAAAAAATATTGTAGAAATAGAAGAAATCATAAAAAAAGATTTAATAATTATATAATTTCTGTATATAATACCTGTAATTTTGACTTCTACGTGACATTCATTGTCATGCGCTTTTTCTCGCATTGTTATATTAAAGTGCTTACGCACATTTTTTTCATCTGGGAGGTCAATTATTGTCTGGGCTGAAATGAGAAAAAATCAACTAATGAGAAAAATTAACTTATTTTTAGTGCTCTGCTTTGTTTAACAAAAAGTAATTGACTCGCTTCAACAAATATATTTATAAATACAATTACAAATATATATCAATAAATATATTATAAATACATGACATTTAATTACATATTTTTAATATTGGTAATGCGATAAACATATTTTGTAAAATACAAATAATAGTGATGCTGGCTTCTGCCATAACCTTAATTAGTATATAATTATTACACACAAAATATATTTAGCAATATTTATTACCTTTGAGATCAAACGCCATCAATCTACCATCTTGCACAATAACTTCTCCGGCTTCATTTGTACATAATTTTATATTGTTAAAATCCATATTAAAAACTTTGTTTTACGTTAGGTAAATAGTAGAATTTAGCGCTCTTTAGTCTCTCTCACCCAACCACCCGGCTCTCGGAACCGGGTGAGTTAGAAGTTCTTCCAAGTGCTCTCTAGTGGGAATCCGAACGCTACTGCTAGTTACTTTTGGGAAGGTTCGGAAGGAATCCGAACGGTTTTTGGGTGCCTGGGAGCACTCAGGTGGGGAATCCGAACGCACCCCAAGGTGTACCACATGGAGGTTCTCCGGTCGGATTTAAACTTCGCGTGCGTGTGTGCGTGCGTGCGTGTGCGTGTGCGTGTGCGTGTAGGGGGTGAGTGAGTAGTTAGAGCAAGTGTTCAAATTGCCGTCCATCAACAGTCTGACAATGCGCCAATCTACTGTAAAAACTTGAAATAGCGTTCTCACAAAAATGAGGAGGTATTAGAGTTACCTCGTCATTTATACGGCGACGGAGTTCGTCCAAATTTCTAGGTTTCGTAGTATAGACTCTACTTTTGAGATGACCCCAAAAGAAATAATCCAGAGGTGAAAGATCTGGAGATCGAGGTGGCCATTCTATTGATCCTCTCCTGCCTATCCATTTGTTCGGGAATACTTCATTTAAGTATTCTCGTACACCTCGACCATAATGGGCAGGTGCTCCGTCCTGCTGAAACCAGATTTCATTAAAATTGTCACCAACACGTTGTATTGCTGGTACAATATCGCGTTCAAGCATTGTTCTGTATTTTTCAGCAGTCAAATTACCGTCAATGAAGAAAGGACCAATCACCCTGTCAGCAAGAAGTCCAGTCCATACATTCAATTTTTCCGGATGTTGCGTGTGAGCTTCAATCATCCAATGAGGATTTTCATCTGACCAAAATCTGCAATTGATATTGCCATTCAGCTCAAATGTCGCTTCATCAGAAAAGACTATTTTGGTCGCAAATTCAGGATCCATGTCAATTCTTTGCATGACATCCTCACAAAATTCTACACGACGATCGAAATCGTCTTCAGATAATTCCTGAACTGGATGAATCTTGTAAGGATGAAATTCATTCTTTTTTAAGATTTTATGCACATTCGGGAGATGTCGTGGTGTTGCGCAGATTTTCGAATAGATATATGCGGATTCTCAATATACGATTGTAAGACATCTAAAGACTTTTCTGCATTTGTTGCAGAAACCGATCTACCAGACTTTGATCGATTTTTGACATGACCAGTTTCTTCGAATCGTGCGATTGTGCGGTGTACCGTCGATTTTGATATAAGGACTTTACCAACCCGAAAAGTGTCATTAAATATCTGCAACGTTTCATTATAAGATCTGCGACGATCACCCCACCCTCGCATCATCAGTAACGTTATGCGTTCGTGATCCGTAAGTTCCAACATAACAAAATCGTATTGGATACGAGAAGTTAGAAGTTGTAAGTGCTTAAATTGCCGTCCGTCAACAGACTGGCAATGTTAATCTATTGTAAAAACTTGAAATGACGTTCTCACAAGAATGTAACTTACGTCTTACGTATTCTAATATAATCGATAATAGTAGCTTGCAACCACTGTAATTGTAGAATGGGCTTAAATAGCAACTCCCTATAAGTGATCGTCGTATGCGATCTAATAAATCATATTGGATACGATCGTATTGGACTGGACCGAAATTGCTAGATCGCCTACGACGATCACTTATAGGGAGTTGCTATTTAAGCCCATTCTACAATTACAGTGGTTGCAAGCTACTATTATCGGTTATATTAGAATACGTAAGACGTAAGTTACATTCTTGTGAGAACGTCATTTCAAGTTTTTACAATAGATTAGCATTGCCAGTCTGTTGACGGACAGCAATTTAAGCACTTACAACTTCTAACTTCTCGTATCCAATACGATTTTGTTATGTCGGAACTTACGGATCACGAACGCATAACGTTACTGATGATGCGAGGGTGGGGTGATCGTCGCAGATCTTATAATGAAACGTTGCAGATATTTAATGACACTTTTCGGGTTGGTAAAGTCCCTATATCAAAATCGACGGTACACCGCACAATCGCACGATTCGAAGAAGCTGGTCATGTCAAAAATCGATCAAAGTCTGGTAGATCGGTTTCTGCAACAAATGCAGAAAAGTTGTTAGATGTCTTACAATCGTATATTAAGAATCCGCATATATCTATTCGAAAATCTGCGCAACACCACGACATCTCCCGAATGTGCATAAAATCTTAAAAAAGAATGAATTTCATCCTTACAAGATTCATCCAGTTCAGGAATTATCTGAAGACGATTTCGATCGTCGTGTAGAATTTTGTGAGGATGTCATGCAAAGAATTGACATGGATCCTGAATTTGCGACCAAAATAGTCTTTTCTGATGAAGCGACATTTGAGCTGAATGGCAATATCAATTGCAGATTTTGGTCAGATGAAAATCCTCATTGGATGATTGAAGCTCACACGCAACATCCGGAAAAATTGAATGTATGGACTGGACTTCTTGCTGACAGGGTGATTGGTCCTTTCTTCATTGACGGTAATTTGACTGCTGAAAAATACAGAACAATGCTTGAACGCGATATTGTACCAGCAATACAACGTGTTGGTGACAATTTTAATGAAATCTGGTTTCAGCAGGACGGAGCACCTGCCCATTATGGTCGAGGTGTACGAGAATACTTAAATGAAGTATTCCCGAACAAATGGATAGGCAGGAGAGGATCAATAGAATGGCCACCTCGATCTCCAGATCTTTCACCTCTGGATTATTTCTTTTGGGGTCATCTCAAAAGTAGAATCTATACTACGAAACCTAGAAATTTGGACGAACTCCGTCGCCGTATAAATGACGAGGTAACTCTAATACCTCCTCATTTTTGTGAGAACGCTATTTCAAGTTTTTACAGTAGATTGGCGCATTGTCAGACTGTTGATGGACGGCAATTTGAACACTTGCTCTAACTACTCACTCACCCCCTACACGCACACGCACACGCACACGCACGCACGCACACACGCACGCGAAGTTTAAATCCGACCGGAGAACCTCCATGTGGTACACCTTGGGTAATGCTAATGCCGATGCCGGCGCGGCAGGACTGTAACTTTCAAGCTCCGAAACTCGAAAAATACTTAATGAAAACTTACTTTATTATAGTGTTTTGAAAAACTCTTGATACCAGCTATCAAATTCTGGTATCATAAATAGGGTGTTCCGTTTGCAAAAATCGACGTGACCTTGACCTGACCTTAGGGACGCCACTCAAGGTCAGACTGATAAAATTAGTAAATAGATCTTTGTAAACCCTACAACTTTTGTTTGAAACATTTTTCTCTATTATGCTTATTTTCCGAAATATTTAGGTGTTCCCACACATTTCGGACACCCTGTGTATATATATATATATATATGTATATATACAGGGTGATTCAAAATAACCCGTGTTTCCGTGAAATGACACATTGTTGATTCAATTCTAAGACGATTTTTCCTTTTGCAAAATTTCGTCCGAAGCTTAGTTTTCGAATTATTAAAGAAAGTAATTAACGCATGACGGGTCGGATACAAGAGGCAGGCAAGAGTGACGCGAGGCCTGTCAGACGCGGGCGCTTACGCGGAGCGCCTGCTGCGATCAGCTGATCGCTATACACATACAGACACACATGCGAACACATAAATTCTCTCTCTGTCTGCTGTCTGTCTGTCTGTCTGTCTCTCTCTCTCTCTCTCTTTCATTCGCTCACTCACCTGTATTTTTTTTTACGAGAGAGGGGAAAATGCATTTTATGCATATCCACCGGTCGATCCAGTGAGTTATGTGGGACTCGAGTACCAAGTCGAATTACCAACTCGGTATTCTCTACCCACTAAAAACCCCTCTCTTTTCACGAATTTTCTTTGACACACTGTCCCTCTGTCCTTCCTGAGATCCGTTTTCACATAATGTCAAAAAATAGTTATTATTATCTTTTTCAATGATTTCTGATATATTGCTGTAATTGCTTGAAGAAGAAATGAATTTTCCGATAGATCGTACGTTTTCAGATTTAACGTAGATATCACGTTGCACAAGAAATCCACACTAAATTATTAACTGAAAGTTTTTCTTCTTTCATGAACTGCATTCTTTTATAAACTTTAACATAATCACATTTATTTACTCACTCGACGAGACGAGAAATTTAATAATGACTCTATCATTAATCACTATTAATCACTGTCGAATAATAACTGTTGACAATTAAAAATCACTCGATAAAAGAAACACGCACGGACACGACGCGACGACGCGACAATAATTAAGGTAGGTTAAGGTACTACTGGCGCTATCGAACGCAATCATGTGTTCGATTGAAGAATGCGGTAAACATAAACATTTAACATATTAATATTATTACTACCGCAATCTACTATGACAAAAAACTGCTTGCAGTCGCCGAGTAATTATCGTCGTATTGTCGCGTCGTCGCGTCATGTAGTAACGTGTCTGTGCGTGTTTCTTTTATCGAGTGATTTTTAATCGCCAACAGTTATTATTCGACAGTGATTAATAGTGATTAGTGATAGA